TCCCATCCTTTTTCTTCGCTATTCATCTCCAGGAAACTAGTCTAATCTGAGCTTGTCCGCGCTCAGTTCATGAAGGTTTCCGACATGTGTATCTTCGACAAGAGAGCCTGGAGGGTTGGCAGAGAATGGCAGGCAGCCAAAAACTCAAATTGCCTTGAGCCAAAGGAAGGTTGGCTGCATTATTAATACGGAAGCATTAAAATCCAGCAGGGATGCTTTAATAGCCGGAGCGACATATATTATCTCTATGGTGCACCTCAATACTTTTCAGAGATATTTTCAAGAAGCTCTAATTACATCCGATTTCGGGTTGGGGGGTCTAATCAGGAATACAAACAGTCCTACTCGCTTCCCAATGTAACTCACGGAACGTAATTCACGGAAGCCGCTCCTAGGAAATGCAGTTTGGATGTCCGACAGATCCTCCTTACCAGGGGTGGGATTCAATTTTTTTTACCACTGGTTCTGTGGGTGTGGCTTGGTGGGCGTGACATGGATTGGTGGGCGTGGCAGAGGAAGGATACTGTAAAATCTCCATTCCCTCTCCACTCCAGGGGAAGGTTACTGTGAAATCCCCATTCCCTCCCCACTCCTGGAAAGGATACTGCAAAATCTCCATTCCCTCCCCACTCCAGGAAAGGATACTTCAAAAGCTCCATTCCCTCCTCACTCCAGGAAAAGATACTGCAAAATCTCCATTCCCTCCTCACTCCAGGGGGAAGGATACTGCAAAATCCCCATTCCCTCCCCACTCCAGGGGGAAGGATACTGCAAAATCTCCATTCCCTCCCCACTCCTGGAAAGGATACTGCAAAATCTCCATTCCCTCCCCACTCCAGGGGAAGGATACTGCAAAATCCCCATTCCCTCCCCACTCCTGGAAAGGATACTGCAAAATCTCCATTCCCTCCCCACTCCTGGAAAGGATACTGCAAAATCTCCATTCCCTCCCCACTCCAGGAAAAGATACTGCAAAATCCCCATTCCCTCTCCGCTCCAGGGGAAGGATACTGTAAAATCCCCATTTCCTGTCTACTCCTGGCGGAATGATACTGCAAAATCCCCATTCCCTCCCCACTCCGGGGGAAGGATACTGCAAAATCCCCATTTCCTCCCCACTCTAGGAGAAGGATACTGCAAGGATACTGGGACTAGAACTCACTGACTCTGGGTGATTGGCCAAAAGTCTCCCAGCTACCCTTCATGTCTAAATAAGAACTAGAATTCACCATCTCCTGGTGATTGGCCCAAAGTCACCCAGCTGGCTTTCATGTGTAAGGCAAGACTATAACTCACAGTCTCCAGGTGATTGGCCCAAAATCGCCCACCTGGCTTTGATGCCTAAGGCAGGACTAGAACTCACAATCCCTGGTGATTGGCCCAAAGTCACCCAGCTGGCTTTCATGCCTAAAGCGGGATTAGAACTCACTGTCTCCTGGTTTATGAGCCAGAACCACGACACCAAACCAGTTATCCAACAGTTTCCAACTTTGGAAAGCTGATGCCAGTGCGCGCACGCACGCACGCACGCACACAACTAATATTTCTTCAGTTCAAAGACACTCAGTGTTATTTTTCTCTTTGCTTAACACCCAGCAGGGAACACTAAGGAAAGACCTGCTACACTTTAAAAAAAAAAAAAAAAGCTGTTTCACACTGCCTGGATAAAAAAACCCACAGTTTCTTAATCCAGATACATTAAATACTTCAAACTGGCACTACGGTAGCCTGTCAGCTGCTAAGGGGGGGCGGGGGATCGTTTGCTTACTCGCAAGGAAATGTTGACACTCTTTGGAAAATGTGTCAGGTGGCCTTTTTAGAACAAGTCCGCTACGAAAAGCCTTTGGCAACAAGGAAAAGCTTTGTCCTTCACTGAGGACTAGTAGCATGCACAGGAGAAGCAGGAGAAGCTACCTTTTCCCCACCCATGACTCATTCAGTGACATTGTCTCTCTCCACCTGGGTGCTCACCCCACCCCCCCAAAAACCCAATGATTTACAGTTCCGTTCTTATTGTTCTGATATTGTTCTTATTGTTCCCAAGAGCCTGAAGCAAACATCTTGTCCCGACATTTTCCCTTTTATTAATTGACTGTGAATTCTGCTCCTTCACCTCCTGCAAAGTCTTTCATGGGAGGATTTACAGTCACAGACCTTATCTGGCTTGGAGAGCTGCCAGGCCGATATCTGCAAAACTTGGCAAGGAGCCTCAGAGAGTCACAAACCAATGAAGTGAACTAATTGTCTCCTGCAAACTCCACTCCCCTTTTGCTCCTCTTTATTCCCTATGGGAAGGGACATTCAATGCCCACCTGTGGCCTTACTCCCAAGTCAATCCTTGTTCCTTTGCTGTTCCCTTCTCCTTGCAGCTCTGTGCATCCAGGCTCCAGCTGTTCTTCTGCCCCCAATGGCAGCTGATAATTGTTGGATGGCCCTGGCCCCCTCTCTGCCTCCGACACAGAGCCCTCATCCAAGTGTTCCCCAGACTCCAGGACTGGCCCACCTTCCTCCCCAACTTCCTCACTGTCCGAATCTGCTGCCAGCTGTGCTGGCGGGTCACAACACTTATATACAGTTCCTTCTAATGTCATCCTCTTATCACGACAACACTGTGAGGCAGGTTAAGGCTAACCAATCATCTGGTCAGCTTCCACATTCAGAGGGGCACTGGACTCTAGGGAAGGCCAGCCTTAAACTTGACGCCTTCTTGGTTCCACCAAGAACCATCCAGAACACCTCAGCAAATGGGTTTTTTCTCATGCAAATGATGCCTTTCTCAGCAAAATCACTAGCAGTAAGAGAGTCTGCATTTTTGGGGTCTGGCTAGTCTACAAAAAAGAAGAATTAGGAGCAACATTGGAGAGAGACAATGTCACTGAATGAGTCCTGTTTCAGTATTTGAGGGGTTGCGCCAAAGAAGAGGGGGGTCAAATTATTCTCCAAAGCACCAGAGGGCAGAACAAGGAACAGTGGATGGAAACTCATCAAAGAGAGAAGCAACCTGGAATTAAGGAGAAACTTCCTAACAGTGAGGACAGTTAACCAGTGGACCAAATTGCCACCAGAAGTTGTGGGCGCTTCATCACTGGAGGTTTTCAAGAAGAGTCTAGAGTAGACAATCACTTATCTTGAGATGGCATAAGTTCTCCTACTTGAGCAGGGGGCTGGACTAGAAGACCTCCAGCTCCTATTCTATTCTATTTTCATATTCTCTTCTCGTCTATTCTATTCTCTTCTCATTTCATATTCTCTTCTATATTCTCTTCTCTTCTCATCTCATCTCTTCTCATCTTTTCTCTTCTTTCTTCTCTTCTGTTCTGCTTTGAGTAACCATGTGCTCTTCAGGAGGCTCATTCCAAGGGGATTCTATTCTCTTCCCTTTTCTTCTCTTCTCGTCTCTTCTATTCTATTCTCATTTCATATTCTATTCTATTCTTTTTTCTTTTCTTCTCATCTCTTCTATTCTCATTCATTCTATTCTATTCTCATCTATTCTATTCTATTCTCATTTCATATTCTATTCTATTTTTTTTCTTTTCTTCTCATCTCTTCTATTCTATTCTCATTCATTCTATTCTATTCTCATTTCATATTCTCTTCTCATCTCTTCTCTTCTATTCCATTCTTTCTTCTCTTCGGTTCTGCTTTGAGTAACCATGTGCTCTTCGGGAGGCTCATTCCAAGGGGGTCACAAGTTTGGATTTGATTTAATTTGATTTTAATTTCAAAAAGTAGTTTTTGTTAAAATACACACACACATTAATGCACACGCACAGACTACATCTGTTGGTCTCTCTTAACACCAATACCAAGATGGCAAACACAGGTGGGAGGCATGCAGGCGGGGGGGGAGGGGGTCAAGAACCAATGGCAAATACAGGTATACCTCGACTTACGACTACAGTGGTGCCCAAATTCTCTGTTGCTGAGCGAGACACTTGTTGGATGAGTTTTATGCCCATAAATGTGAAACCGATAGCCAAGGGGCTAAATTTTGATCACGTGACCGTGGGCACGCTGCAATGGTCGTAAGTGTGAAATACGGTCATAAGTCACTTTTTCCAATCCCCTTGTAACCTCGAACGGTTGATAAATGGACGATTGTCAGTGGAGGGCTAAAGGTTGAAGTTACAAAGGGATTGAAAAAGTGGCTTATGGTTGTCTTTCACACTTATCACCATTGCAGCATGCCCATGGTCAACATTCAGACACTCGAGAACCAACTCGTATTTATGACCATCGCAGGGCTCCGTGATTCGCTTTGGCCGACCTCCTGACAAGCGAAGCCAATGGGAGAAACAGATTCGCTTAACAACCATGTTACTAATTAAACAATGGCAGCGATTCGCTTAACAACAATGGCTAGAGAAGTCATAATAAACAAGGCAAAACTCACCTAACAAATGTTTTACTTAATAACAGAAACATTGGGCTCGATTGTGGTCGTAAGTCAAGGAGTACCTGTAAATCCATTCTGCTTTAGAGGAGGGGGGTTTCAAGACCAAGGTTTTTACAACTCAGCTCCAGATAAATCTCGGGCTAAAAGAGGCCAAAACCTAAACAGCAATGAAGTCTGTCTGTCTATCTAAGGATAGGATAGGATAGGATAGGATAGGATAGGATAGGATAGGATAGGATAGGATAGAATCTGGAAGGAACCTTAGAGGTCTTATAGTCCAGCCTCCAGCTCAAGCAGGAGAACCTTTACCATCTCAGACAAGTGACTCTTCAGTCTTTTATCTATCTATCTATCTATCTATCTATCTATCTATCTATCTATCTATCTATCTATCTATCTATCTATCTATCTATCTATAGAATAGAGGTGGAAGGGACCTTGGAGGTCTTCTAGTCCAGCCCTCTCCTCAAGCAGAAGAACCTATATCATCTCAGACAAGTGACTATCAAATCTCTTATCTATCTATCTATCTATCCATCCATCCATCCATCCATCCATCCATCCATCCATCCATCCATCCATCCATCCATTTTTGCCTTACCTTTGGAGAGCACCACCGCCAGGCTGAAGAGCAGAAGCCAGAGAAAGCGGATGATCTGATTCGGCCAAAGGATCCCCATAGCGGGCTGCAGAGAAGTTAAAGCTTTGTCCCGAGAAGTTTACAATGAGGACTAGCCACCTGTCCGGGCCTTTTCCCCCCTTCATCCCAGGGGGGGAAAGGAGAGAGATAAGTCATCTGCTGGTCTACCCAAAAATAGAAAAAAATAAAATGAATCTGTATTTTGCTCCAAGTTAGATTTCAGGACTGTCTCCTGGGCGCTTTGAAAGAAAAGGAAAAAAAAGAAAGAAATTCAAAATTCAGCAGCTTCTCTGCTACCCACGGCTTAGATTATTCAGGAAAAAATCAGCGAAGGTTTTTCCAGGGGAGAGTCGATCCGGAGCGAAGTCGGAAGAAGCAACACGAAGCTGCGAGGAACGGAGCTCGGAGACTGGGAAGAGGAGAGGAAGAAAGGGGAAAAGGCCGGCCGGGAAAAAGGCGCGAGCCATGCCCGCACACCTAGGATAGGGCGCAAAAAAGCGGGTCCGTTTCAGATGCCCAGCGCCGAGATGGTAAGGGACCATCCGCTCGCCAAAACAGATCTTTGAAGCGTCTCCAAATTGTGGCTTCTCTCTCTCTCTCTCTCTCTCCACCCACCCACCCCCAGGAAGGGTTGGCTAGGAGGGGGGCAACCAAGTCCCCTTTTTTTACGGAGAGGGGACAAGGATGAGTGAGAAGCGCTCAAGTTTGCCCACCCGGAGGGAAAAGAGGCCACGGAAAACGATGCGCAAAGAGATGGAGAAGAGCGCGCGCGAGAGAGAGAAGGAAGGAAGGAAGGGGTTTGGCTCGCCACGGACTAAATTCCTCTTTGGGTCGGTGGGGGCTGGAACCCAAGCAAGCCGTAGGAATCCTGGGCTTCTGAAGGGAGGGGAGAAAAGGCAGGGAGGGGTGCAGAAAGGGGGTCGGGGAGGATCCCCCGCCGAAAGGAAAACTCCCCGCTTTTTCGGCGCTGCCTCCGCCCGCCGCCTTGCTGGCAAAGCTGGAACGCGCCTGGCAGAGAGGCTGGGCTGGCTCCGAAGTCGCCGCCTCTTCCCTGGCGCGACGCCCCCTTTGCAGAAACTCAAGTTCTCGTCTGAACGTAGAATTTGGGGAGGGTGTGTGTGTGGACAAAGCTGGAGCCGCTCACCCCGGCCAATTGATGGAAGGGGACCCCCAAGGAGAGAAGGTCGGCTGGGAGGGGAGGTGCGGAAGATCTCCCAGGTTGGCTGGGAGGGGAGATCACCTCCAGAAAGGGGATCAATAGCCCCCCCCCACCTTTCCCGTGTCTCCCCCCTCCTCTAACTGCTTTCCAAGCCCCCCCCCCTTCGCGGACAGTTAACCTCCCCCGACCAATCCGGGAGCGGCTGAACAAGATTGGGGCGGGGAGGCGGATGGAAGAGGAAAACACCGCGCGCCCCCACCCACCCCTCGCGAGTTCGAGACGCTCAGACTTCAAAAGGAGCCCGACGGGGAGGGGTGGGAGAAGCCCCACCTCTTTCCCAGTAGCGCTCCGCCCTCTTCATCCCCATCCCCACCCCCAGGCGGAGAGGCTCCACCCCCGAGGGATTCCCCGGAGTTGGGGGAAGGTAAAGTGGGAGGGGGCGCAGGGGAGGGTCCGGCAACTCCCGCAAGGCAGGGAGAATCGGAGCTAGGAGGGAGACCCCCTGGGCTGAGCTCCCTGTCTCTTTCTCGACCCCCTGGGAAAACTGCAGGGGGATGGGGGAAGAGAGTGAGGAGGGGGCTGCGTCTTGCACCCCGGCCCGCTGCTAAATCCCCGCAGCGGCCAAAGAGATGTTCCAGCTTCGACACGGGAAGAAAAAAAAGACAATCGCGTTTTTCCAATGGCTTGGTTGATTTTTTTTTAACGCTTTTAGTAGTAACAAAATAAGGAGGGGGTTCGGTTTTGCAGCCAACACGTTCGCAACCTACAACCTATGGCTATGTATTGGGATGGATCTAACGGATCGCGCTGCAAAGCCACCGAGGGGATCGCGAGAGACAGAGACCTCCGCTCAAAGAACGGTTCCGAACCCACCCACCCCGCGCTTTCCTTCGCCTTCCGTGCTCCAACGTGCAGGATTAAAAATTCCGCGTTCGGATTTGCTGGGAAGGGGTGAGTGGGGAGGGGGGGTTAGAGCCCAACGTTGCTGGAGGGTTTTAAGGATTAACAGGCTGACCTATGCCTGGAATTGGCAGACTTGTTGTTCTGCTCAAATCTAGTTGATTACTTTGGCTGGGAGGGGGGAGCCTTTTGCACAGGGCAGCAAAGAAACAGGGCAGAAACAGGAGCAGCGATCAGAGAGCAGAAGTCCCTAATCTCACCACACATGGGACGATTAAGCCGTGTTTCAACTGGGTTGAAAACGGTCAGCATCCTGTGTGGGAAGTGGCACGCAGAACCACTCTCTGGGTATGGCAGCCGTTGCCTGTTGCTCTTCCGGGTTCTAGTGCAGGTATGCACTCCGGCCAGCTGGCCTTTGCCCGCACTTGTGCTCCAGAAACAGTGGTGGGATTCAAAAATTTTTTACTACCGGTTCTGTGAGGGTGGCTTGGTGCGCGTGGCAGGGGAAGGATATGCAAAATTCCTGTTCCCTCCCAATCAGCTGGGAGTCAGGAGGCAGAGAATAGATGGGGAGGGGGCAGTCAGAGGTGGTAGAAGGTGGTGGTTCACCAGGGGTGAAATTCTGGAGAACCAGTAGTGGAAATTTTAAGTAGTTCGGAGAACTGGCAAATCTCCATTCTCTCCCCACACCAGGGGAAGGATACTGTGAAATCTCCATTCACTCCCAATCAGTTGGGATTCAGGAGGCAGAGAATAGATGGGGGTGGGGCCAGCCAGAGGTGGTATTTGCCAGTTTTCCGAACTACTCAAAATTTCCGCTACCGGTTCTCCAGAACTGGTGAGAACCTGCTGAATACCACCTCTGGACGGGAAACCCGACAACAAAGCTTCCTGCGCACATATGCGTGCCAGGAAACTGAGTTTCTGGTGCGCCAGCTGGTCTTCACGCACGCATCCATGCCAGAAACTGGAAGACCAGGTGATCAGCACGCAGGCACATGCTGGAAATCGGGAGCTCGGCTTCCCGACGCACGCATGTGTGCCAGGGAACTGCTCTTCCGGCTTCTGGCGCTCCCCCACGCATGCGTGCTCCCGTTTTTGCACTTGGTGCCGAAAAAGTTTGCCAACAGTGTCCTGGATCACGCCAAATCGCAAAAAATCAGGAAGGAATTCCTGGAAGCCTGGCATTCAGCCATTGCCCATCAATAGACCCATAGAGATAAACCATGTTTATACGCCATTTGAAAGAGATGCTAAAAAGCTAAGAAGGAAACAAAGAGAACAGCGCGCATCTTTTGCAGCAATCAACACCCAGATTTACATGAACAGAACTAACTTTAACCTACTTAGAACTAAGGAGAAATTTCCTGACAGTGAGGACATATTTTGGACAGAGAGGATCCCTGGTTTGAAAGAGGGATTAAAGAAAGTGCATATGCATGACAGCACATGTGTGTGTGTCCCTGCACCCATAATGCAATGTGTGCACAACACACACCCACACATCTCCCCCCCCCCATGCATGTGAGTGTGACACTCCTGTGCCCCATTTTGGGCCTAGTTGGCCTCCCTGCAGCCTTCCAGGACGAAAAATGTGTCTTGGGGGGGCAAACCACCCCCCCCCCCCCCCCCCCCGCCCCCCCCCCCCGCATGCACGTATGACTCCTGCATGTGCCCCGCCCTCCACACATGTGCGGCAGAGATCTGAAAATCATCTAGTGAGCGGAAGGTGGTGAAGCTGAGCTGGGACGGCGGCTCGCAGTGAAGGATCTGTGTGGTATGCGTGGCATAGTGTCATCATGGATCTATATCAAAATTGAACAGCCTTCTTTCAACAGAGAGAGAGGGATACAACATTGTCTATCTCCAGTCTACAACACAGGAGTCCTTTCAGCAGTTCCGAGAAGGCTCCGCACCCATTTGCACCACTCAGGTGACCCTGAGGACACAGACAAGCCTCCAAGTGGCCACAACGATTCCCTAAAAGGATGCAAATGACCAGCTACCTGCAAGGAATATCAATCCTTCCATTCCCCACCATCCAGTCGGAAGCGAAGAAGCTTCTTGGATGAGAAGTGAAACGTCTTCAAAGAAAAATCAGAAAATCCAGTTGCCTCTTGAAAACAAAGCACCTTTGGGACAACTGTGAACCTGGATGGCTGAGAATCTCCATAGACAGACAGTGAGAACAGTTAATCAGCGGAAAGACTGATTAAATTAAATTAATTAAGTTACCAATTAAACTGTTAAACAGGGGAACTTCCAGAAGTTGTGGGTGCTCCATCACTGGAGGTTTTGAAGATGAGACTAGGTAGCCATTTGTAAAGAATGATAGAGGGTTTTCTGCTTGAGCAGGGACTAGAAGACCTCTGAGGTCCCTTGCAACTCTGTTTCCTTGAATCCTCCACCTCCACCCTATTCTGACATTGTGCGGCTTCTTTTGAAGGCCGATTTTGGAGTTGCGGCTGGATTTATACAGTGATGACAATGATGATAGAAGTCGGACTCTGAAAACCTTTTAAGATAAAGGTTCCCCTCGCACATATATGCTAGTCGTTCCCGATTCTAGGGGGCGGTGCTCATCTCCGTTTTAAGCCCGAAGAGCCAGCGCTGTCCAAAAACGTTCTCCATGGTCATGTGGCTGGCATGATTAAATGCCGAAGGCACACAGAACACAGTTACCTTCCCACTAAAGGTGGCTCCTATTTTCCTACTTGCATTTTTCTGTGCTTTCGAACTGCTAGGTTGGCAGAAACTGGGACAAGTCACGGGAGCTCACTCTGTTACGCAGCGCTAGGGATTCAAACCACCGAACTGCAAACATTTCTGCTTGACAAGCTCAGTGTCTTAGCCACTGAGCCACCACCTTCTTTTACTTGCATCCACCCTGGTCTGACCCTTAGACTTTGTTCTGAACTCCAGCTTCCCCCAAATTTGCTTCCCCCCATCCCTTATAGGCAGGTTGCCCACCGTCAGAAGCG